AAGAAAAAGGTTGGATGGACACTCCGCTTATGCTTGACTGGGTCAAGACTGTGTGGTGCCTACGGCCAGGTGCGCTCCTCCACTCCGCCTCCATCCTAGTTCTCGACTCACTTCGCGGTCACCTGACGCCTGAAGTGAAGAAGCTGATGCGGGAAACTCAGACGCAGCTCGCTGTTATTCCCGGAGGTATGCTGTCCGTGCTGCAGCCATTAGACGTCTGCCTGAACAAACCATTTAAGGATAGAATGCGGCAGCTGTACGGAGAATGGATGCGAGAAGATCGGGCTTTGACACCTACGGGTAGGATAAAGCGACCTAGCGCCGCTAAGATTGCCGAGTGGGTGTCCGCCGCTTGGTATGGGCTGCCGCACGACATGATAGTTCGCGCGTTTACAAAGTGCTGTATATCGAACTATATGGATGGCACGGAGGATGACTTCATCTGGGAGGAAGAAAGGGACAAAGAGGGCTCGACCACCGGCGATGAAAGCGACGAATGAACAAAACTCACTTTATATTTAGAAACTGGGATGTCTTTGCCACTACCATGTGCAGCAAATAAAGGTACTTTTTTCTTGCTTCACTCGCGTTACATTCGTGTCCTTTTTCTTTTTTTTTGCACTGAAAAGTCACCCCTCGCGTTACAATCGTGGTTGCGTTACATTCGAGTAAATACGGTAGTAGGTGTATAGCAAGTATAAAAATATTTCACGTGCATAATTGCTCGTTTTAAAGCATGCTTCCCATTACACAGGGACATGTAGTGAACGAATGAGGTGCAGATGAAAGAAATAGAAAAGGCGAAAAAAGGCCGCAGCAGACTGCATGGGCTCGACAAGTAAGGGAGGAGGGCGGCTTGCCTTGGCGACGGATATGCCTTTGCACTGGCGCCAGCGCCACTACAGTGTACTAGTGTCGCAAGCGTGGCTCCGGTCGCTTGCTGCTGGCTGCGCACGGCTCAACAAACCATGTGCGGTCTTTTCCTCATGAGCTGTGCTTGATACTTTCCTGTCAGCAACAGTGCCATCGTTACTGAGTTTGCTAGCTCGTCTGTAAACTTGAAATCTTTTCCGGCCTTTTTATGTGAGCTTTTGCCTTTGCCACCAGTGCACTGTCTTACGCAACCTTGGCGGGTTTCCGTTGTTGTTCTCCTGGTCGCGAATGCGAACTTGATATCATGGACGCTGTTCTTGGTTCAGTGCTTGAGTGTGATCTTTCCGACGCTGGATCTTCACGTCGTGAACAAACTTTCCGTTGCAACATGCCGCACACTGGGTGTAATTGACGTTGGTGTCGTTTCGGTAGTGGTCACATGCTAACTAAGTTGCTGTTTGGTACTGTTAGATCACTAGTCGATCCCTGTGCCTTGGCGCAAGTGAAGTAGAAGCAAGCTGACAAGCTGGTGAGATGTGCATTTATTTTCTCTGTAGTTTGGCTATAGCTGAGCCAAGAACTGATATGGGCTACACTTAAGTTACAACACTTCTCTATCAATAACACTGGCATCCATCAAGCCAAACAGGCTTTGCCGAAAGACGAAACCGGAGCGCTCAGAGAAAGGTCTGTGCGAAAAGAATCACCGTATTAGGTTTGTGGCATGCATCACGGGAGTCATCTACCGGATCCCATTACGGTGTGATGCATGCTATATAGGCCAAACTGGTAGATGCATCAATGATAGGCTGAACGAACACAAGAATAACGTGGCCAAGGCACAGCCTGAGGGTTTTCTTGCAATTCACTGCAAAGAATGCGGGTGCCAACCCCTCTTTAATCGCACTGGCATAATCGGAAGAAGCACTAACCAAATGACAAGGCTTATTATAGAAGCGAAATTCATTGCTAAGTTTGGGGACACTTGTATAAACAAGCCATCGATATCATTATCATTGAAAGAATTACATTATTTGGATGTCGCATGAGTTGCAGTAGATCACAATTTTCTGGTTCTAGCACGTGGTTGTGACGCGCCATGTTTGGGTATAAGTATTGCTGTTTCTCGGATTAAACCGCATTGTTGAAAGTTGGCGCCATGTATGTGTTCTGTCTTCTTCTCTGTCCCGTCCTGGATGCGCTATACCTCGAGCTCTTTTCAGTGTTTGCGCTTGTTCTTTTTTCGTGTTTTTTTTGCGCCATAAACTCGTTAAGAAGGAAACCAACTCGCCCAACAAGTCACTCTGCTGACTCTTAGTAAACGGAACCTGAAGTGACCAGGAAAATATCTTCCATTTAACAGGAGTTCCGTTTACTGAGAGGAGAACATGGGTGCAGAATACAAGCCCGTAACCAAGTATCACAGAGGCAATAGTTCCGTGTAAGCTGTAGTTCCGTTTAACAGATTTCCGTTAACGAAGAGTTCACTGTATATCGCTAGTTGATCCCTGCGCCTTGGTGCAAGCGAAGTAGATGAAAGCGGACAAGCTGGTGGAATGGGCATCTATTTTCACTGTAGGTTGCAAATATAAAGACAGTAAAGAAAGAGGGAAAGGGAAACAAGGTAAGCGCAACATGAGATCGAAGCTTTGGCTACAGCTGAGCCAAGAACTGATATGGGTTACACGATGGTTACAACAGACACGGAATCAACGAAACTTTGTGTGGTGGCTGCACCTGAAGGGAAGGGATACATATCGCTAATGAATAAAAATGAAAGTGTCACGTGTAACAATCTAATGGTGGGTCTCTCAATCTTTCTGCATTGGCATCATAAATGTAGTACATTGCAAGTAAATACCCGGCCGCAGTGGTTTAGTGGCTAAGGCACTCGGCTGTTGACCCGTAGGTTGCGGGATCGAATCCCGGCTGTAGTGGCTGCATTTTCGATGAAGACGAAAATGATGTAGGCCAGTGAAATCAGATTTGGGTGCACGTTAAAGAACCCCAGGTGGTTGAAATTTGCGGAGCCCTCCATACAGCATCTCTCGTAATCATACGGTGGTTTGTGGACGTTGAACCCCATATATCAATCAATTACAAGTAAATATGTAGGGGGAGATCATAAGGTTACAAACCGTAAGCGAGACTTCCTGGTCAATTGCGATTCAAATGCGACATCTTGAAATCTGGTGCGCACCCGTGAAATTCAATGATTGGCATTTTTCAGCATGTGAAATTTCGGACATTACTGTACTCAGTTTTTGTGTAATGCGCATAATCGAGGCGGCATGAGAGGTAGGCAGCAGATTGCCACTATATGGTCTTCTTTAGTTAGACCAGCCTCCTTTTTTTTGTGTTTATTTTGTTGACAGCAAATGTCTTTGGACGTTCAATTTTTTTAATGTTCAGTAATTGTAAATGTTGTAAGCACCATGCATCGCATGCTTTGATTCTTGGATAGCGAGGATGCATGCTCAACACGTGCGCTGGTGTGGCCCTTGAAACAGGTTCTTTATGAAAAAGGCTGTATAGAGTGTATACGTGCATTTAACCGTGGGAGCGTCAGTCAGTGCCTAGCATCATTATCTGTTGGTTCTCAATAATATTGTTTGGAGTCAAGTAGCTTGTGAACTTAAGAACAGGCAGCTGACCTATAATCTCTCGTATACTATCTAAAGGTATGAGGTCTGCCAGAGCGAGACCCTCGCTGTGACTAATGGAAGGGAGTTTACATTTACGGGGTCGTTTTCTTTGTTTGACATGGTAGGTCATAGGGAGCAATATTCGAAGGTCGCAGGTTCGGGCTCTGGTCACATCAAGCTGTTTTTTCATCCCTTTTTTTCTGCGTTGTCCTCAACCTAAGTCAAACCCTCTTGGTAATTCTCGAGGTTTCTGCTTTGCAGGTAAGTACCAGTATAATCCAGCTGTTATGCAGTTGAACCCCTTTATAAGAGGCATGCTCCGGACAGCAATTCTTGTATTTTATACGAGATGTCTCTTATTAGCAGGGTACCATGTATGCATTTTCCTACCAACCCATACCTTACTGTAGGCACACTGGGGTTTCTTATACCCATTTGTCTCTTATATTAGTGTCTCTTATGAAGGGGTTCGACTGTATACTTTCATCTTGAGAGATAGTGGTAGACTAGCATTCATGATTTGAAAATGCTTGCCAAATCTGTTCCACCCCATCCTTATTCTAGTTATTTCACCCTCATGATTCAGCATCACGTTACTACCTGTCTTTAAGTAGACATATTTCATGACAAATTCCAGCTTTTTTCCACCTATCGCAAAGCGCTGTTTTCTGTTGACACTGTTGCACATTACTTCAGTTTCATTCATATTAATTTTCCAGCCCACTCTTCTGCTTTCCGTGTCCAATTCAATAATCATGAGCTGTAATTCGTCTCCTGAGGGATTCATCAATGCAGTGGGATCAGCGAAACGCAGATTACCAAGATACTCTCCATTAACTCTTATCTCTAACTTTTTCTAATTTAGAGCCCTGAGAACCTCCTGTAAACACGTGGTGAATAGCATTGGAGAGATTGTGTCTACCTGCCTTACACCCTTCTTCTTTATTGGTGTTCTGTCACTTTCATGATGGCTAAAGATCGGCTGTAAATTTCTTCTAGTATTTTCATTTAGGGTTCGTTGATACCCTGATTGTGCAGTGCCTGCATGACTGCTGATATGTAGCTTGGCACCCTAAAGGGATCTGCCCTCAAAATTGTCACTTTGCAGGGAGCGCCCGTTCTTGTGCCACTTTTATTCATCATGTGCCGCGCGGTCTTTCTGTTTCTGAAGCAAGGAAATTTAAGACCCAGAAATGCTTTTTCCGAAGAGCACAGAATGGTGGTGCCTGGTTTGTGCACAACATTGCAGAACTATGGTTTGTTTAAAAAACCCAGTTCTTTGAGATTTTTCAAATAACCTTTGCCCCCTTGGTGGCGAATTTTTTAAAGTTGCATCTACGTGGTTTTCAGGGAACATATTTTGGAATCAACAGAAAAGGGGCTTCAGAAACTGAAAATATTTGCTATTTTTTACTATCCATCTGACAGAAATACCTTTTTTTAATGTGAGGCCTCTGATTTTCTGTGCTTTTTCCACTGCAGGGCACACCAGTCCTCTCTTTGCTGAGACTTCTGCTGCAGCCTTCACTGCTGGCTGTCTTTTGCAGCACTGATGAGTAAGTGCTACTTATGCCATGTACAGTTCTACCATTCCCCAACATCATTGTGCGACTTAGCATTATGCCATTGCCTTTTCTTTTTTGCTACCTGTGTTGCCCGACTGTCTCCCTTAAAAAAGGCTCCATGTTTTTAGATAGATCTGACAGACCTTTATCAACACCCACCTGTAAACTTTTCAATAGTTTGGATTTATTTGATACACTCTGATTTTAAAAGCACATTTTTAAGGTTTGAAGGGTATTGTTAAATCTCAGAATTATCAGTCTAGCATGCGGCACCCCAGCAACCTTGTAAAGTATGTAATATTACAAGGTATCATGTTATAAATTTTTAATATGAACAAACATCAGTGTTTTGTATTCCAGTATATGTCTTTGCGAGTGTATGTGTCTACGTTCACGCCTTGCAGATGTCTAAAGTACACTTGGGATGTTTGCATGTAATTATGTTCAGATATCATTTTGTCTAAAGTTTATGAGAGCAGCGGCCACGAGCTTGCTGACTACAGAAAAAAGAGGGCAATGACGATTGCGGGTGCCCTTGGGTATGCAGCAGCCGCTGGCAGCGAGCAGTTGTGGCTGGCAGCGAGCAGTTGTGGATATACATGCGCCCGTGTTGTTTGCCTCTTATCCTTGTGTCCGTGTACGTGTTTGCGCAAAGAAGTCATGAATGAGTACCAACTCGCCCAGCTTGCGCGCGCAACCTTGAGGAGGACACAGCTGCCCTTGAAGCTGAACTGGATCGCTTCAAGTGGGATACATGCGCCCGTGTTGTTTGCCTCTTATCCTTGTGTCCGTGTACGTGTTTGCGCAAAGAAGTCATGAATGAGTACCAACTCGCCCAACTTTCAGTACTGTTGTGGCTGAGGCTTAGAGGAAGAAACAAGGTTCCTAGTCTGGTTCCGCCTCTTCCCTGCAGGATTCTGGGTTGAGCAGCCTCGAATTCCCCACATTTGGCACCTAACAGAAAGATCGAGCCCAACGATTAAGACACTGCTCCAAGATGTGCACCTCGCCATCCTTCGGTGGTGATATTGGCTACAAGCAGCTCTGGCAACTAAAGCGGGCCTGTCTGGATATATCTTGCTTTGGCACTTGCAACCAGTTTCGGCTGCACAGGCTAGTTCAGATACTCCACGACCTTTATTACTCCGGGACGATGATGCCCAACAAGATGCGGCGCGTCGTCGTCACGTGTTGGTACACCCATCCTTTCATTGGCATTCAGCTACCCATACAGGCATTGGAGGATGCGGCGAGCTCGTTCAGACGGGCGGCCCCTCGCGATGACAAGCGACGTGGTCATACCTCGAATGAGGTCAGAAAGTCACAAGATAGAGAAGAACGGGGAGACGGGGTGGCTCCGGAGGACGACGCAGAGTGCGCCGGCAAAGGCCCCAAAAACGTGCACGCTGCACAATTCACGGGGGCGCTTGACGTGACCTCTGAACGACCTTGATGACATCCGATGCAGCAAGGACACCAGTGAGTGTCGGACCGGCGGGTGAGACGTCGCTGAGATCGGCGTGGAGGTGGAAGCTGTGTGTAGGGATGCCGCACGACACGACGGCCCTGCGGCCCAAGAAGAGAGAGAAAAAGGAAGAAAAGAATTGGGAAATGAGATCACGACGTGCAGTGCATTGCTGTAGAGACGGAAGACCAGGAGCAAATGGGAGGTGACTATTGCGCAGAGAGAGAGGGCGCTCCAGGCTGGGAGGAAGCATGCTACGGTGCAGACGGCGAAAACGAGGATGCGAAGGCCGTCGAGTACAAGCAGAGTGGAGAACAAGCTTGCGCCCACAATCTTGAGGAGGACACAGCTGCCCTTGAAGCTGAACTGGATCGCTTCAAGTGGGATACATTGCAGCAGGCTATCCCCATTTGTCAGCTGGAGTATGAGTTGAGAGCTTTACTGATGAACGAGATGATCTAAAGCATGTGCACGATGTCTACAAGTCCAAGGCACGAGAAGGACTACTACAGAAGATTAACAAGAAGGAACACAACATTTCTGAACTGGAGGACAAGATCTGTACTCATGAGGTAAAATAGGATGAAGACTCACAGGAGCGCAGTTGCATGGAGGGGCTGCTTGCAGATGGTCAGCAACACCTCGAGGATTAGCAGCAGCAGTGTGCCAGGTTTGAGGGGCAGTTGCTTGGAAGAGACAATAAACTGTCAAACCTGCGGTGCAGTCACGAAGGAGAGCTCCAACGGCAGCACCTACTCCAAGACTCGCAGCTGGACGAATACAGACACCGTGCGCAGCTGGCCCAAACCGAGCAGGACCACGATCGAGAGACCAGTGAAGTGCAGGCTCTAACTTTGGAACTTAGCAAGAAGGAAACAGAGTGCAAGGCGAAGCATGAGCGGGAAAATCCAAGGGCTCGAGGCTAGCCAGAAGGCTTTGTCGGCAACTGTCCCCGAGCTAGAAAAGCAGCTCCGTCTGGTGTCGCTCTCTGAGACCATCCTCAAGCACAGTTTGCAGAAGAGAGACGTTGAGAGAGAAACATTGCAGGCCGAACTTGCAAAGCTGAACAAAATGCTTGCCTCGGCTGAAAGACAGAACAAGCTGTTGACAAAGAAGCTTAAGCTAAGGCAGTAGCAAGTGAATAAACAATCCAGGCTAGAAGAGATGACACAGCTGCAGGATCTCCTTGAGAAGGCAGCAGAACTTACAGCCCCTTTCAAGAAGGAACCTGCCGTCCACGTGAGCAGTTGCATTAACGTGTCTCACCCACAGTGTTCCCATTCTAGGCTTCTGAAAACTTCCTGTAAGCACGCAGTAAATAGCATTGGGGAGACTGTGTCCCCCAATGCTACAGTTAGGGATAAGAGTTATCCACAGTTAGGGATAAGATAAGAGCTATCCCACAGTTAGGGATAAGAGTTAATGAAGAATACCTTAGTAACCTGCGCTTCGCCGATGACATTGCATTGCTGAGTAACTCAGGGGACGAATTGCAACTCATGATTACGGAGTTAGACAAGGAGAGCAGAAAGGTGGGTCTTGAAATTAATCTGCAGAAAACGAACGTAATGTACAACAATCTCAGAAAGAAGCAGCGCTTCGAGATAGGTAATAGTGCACTTGAAGTTGTAAAAGACTATGTCCACTTAGGGCAGGTAATAACCGCGGAGCCGATCCACGAGATTGAAGTAACTAGAAGACTAAGAATGGGGTGGAGCACATTCGGCAAGCTCTCTCAAATTATGACAGGTAGATTGCCACTATCCCTCAAGAGGAAGGTATATAACACCTGTATCTTGCCGGTACTTAGCTACGGAGCAGAAACCTGAAGACTTACAAAGAGGTTTGACGATAGTTATAGCGCGAGAACAAAACGACGACACAGAGACAAGAAGGACACGAAAGACACGAGCGTGTCTCTGTGTCGTCGTTTTGTTCTCGCGCTATAACTATCGTCATGCCATACCAACTAGCCCAAGCTGCCACACTTCTAACTTACAAAGAGGTTTCATCTTAAATTGAGGACGACGCAGCGAGCAACGGAAAGAAAAATGGTAGGCGTAACCTTAAGAGACAAGAAGAGGGCAGAGTGGATTAGGGGACAAACGGGGGTTAAGGATATCATAGTTGAAATAAAGAAGAGGAAATGGACATGGGCCGGGCATGTAGCGCGTAGACAGGATAACCGCTGGTCATTAAGGGTAACTAACTGGATTCCCAAAGAAGGGAAGCGGGTTAGGGGGAGACAGAAGGTTAGGTGGGCAGATGAGATTAAGAAGTTTGCGGGTATAAATTGGCAGCAGCAAGCACAGGACCGGGTTAACTGGCGGAACATGGGAGAGGCCTTTGTCCTACAGTGGACGTAGTCAGGCTGATGATGATGATGACCCACAGTGTGATATCGGGGAGAGGTATATGCAGTCGTAGCTTCGTTGGGGATTTCCGTGGCTTCCAAGGCTACTGGTGTTCAACGACTCCTTCCTGGAGGAGTGGCCGCCACACTGCTAGCTTAGTGGCTGCCCCCCAAGGTACACCTTGGCTAGTTTACAACAGCCAACATAAACAGCCTTTATATTAGCAGCATATATAAACAGCATAAACAGCAAATTAAAAAAAAAAGAAAGGTTGAGAGACAAGATTATCGGCAAGGCTGGAATGCATTGTCATTAAAGATAAAGTGTCGTGTGGACGTTCCGCCACAACTTAGAATGCAAAATCAAACCTCAAAATTTGGGGAATTGTGTATTTATGAGAAATAAACTCTTGCCACGTTCCATTTCCCAAGTTTTTGTTATCGTCCCAAAACACCACACGATTCTCAGCGCAAACCGCGCCTGCAGTTTTCGAGAAGGTTCCGGACTGTAGTAGATCATTTCGATAAAATCACGCCCACTGTGTGAACGGTACAGATTGTTCTGGAACCTACGCCACCGCCAGCGATAACGCTAGAATATTCGACAGCAAGAGTATAAATGCCGACGCGCTTCGCCGCTTGTCAGTTGTTGATCGAAGGCCGACGCTCCGTTCACCGCTATCAGTCCAAGACTGCTATTTGTGCAAGACTACTGCTGTAATTGGACTTTCCGTTTACCGGGCACAGGTTTGCCCAAATAAACAGTTAAATCCCAACACGAAGTCTCCTGTCTTCGGCCACGTCACGACCCCGTGACATCTGGTAGAGGTGCTGCTTCGTTCATGTACCGGACGTCCCCGTCAAGCCGTGAACCCAGCCCACGTCGGGGAGAAGACACCGACGCCAACCAAGAGCAGCGAACAAGCCGCCGACAGCAAGGTCTCCCACCGGAGTACGGGCTTCTACAAGACAAGGCGCGGAAGGCCAAGGCCATGACCTCTACTGCAGCGACAATGACAACAAGAGCGTCCCAGCCCGCGATCGTCATTCATCAACCCAGGGAACCACCAACGTTTCATGGGTCATCATTTGAAGACCCGGAAACCTGGCTAGAAACATACGACCGTGTGGCCGCCCTCAACCACTGGGACAACGAAAAAAAGCTCCGTCGTG